TCCTTCGTGCAGATCTTTGGAATTCATAAATCAGCTTTCAGCGCAAGGCGCTATAAATTAAGCAGCCGCACTATTGTCTCAATAGCATACAATGTTAACGTGTGGGTAGTGAGAAAAACGCGTAGATCAAGGCAAAAAAGCTCCCAGCCGAGCGTCAGGTTGTCTGGAAAGTTCCAATGAAGCTGTGCTTCATGAGATCGTGAGGAAAATCACAGCAATTATCCAACATTTTCCACTTCAAAGTCATCATCCCAGGGAGAAACGTCATGTTTGTCCCGCCGTTGAAAGCTTTAGAGTCAGCACTCATCAGACTTCCGGAGATTTGCGACTGTCTGGAGAACAGACCACAAGATCAATCGATTGTGATCACATGACGCCACTTCATTGTAAACACACTCTTTGGGGCTTGTACAGCGGATCATTCCAAATAAATATGTTTTGTGGATGATTCTTTTTTCCATCTCTGCTTAATGATGTTTACATGCGATTGTTGTTCTTCTCTCTCTCTCTCGCTCACTCTTGTCGTGTCTCGAACGGAAGCTAGTGGATCGCATTTATTGGTTGATGTTTTGTCAACACTGCCGCGTGCAGGAATATTATTTGCAGAAAATAAAAGAAACAACACAGCTGTTCTCTTCAGGTGCAACACGTGGCAACGGACAAATTCAAATTCAATGTCGTGCACAAAGTCAATAATTGATGACTTTTCTCTCTCGAGACATCTCCGTTTTTCGCCCCGAACATCTTCCCACGAATCGCCGTAGAGTAATTTTAGCCCAAATGCGTGTGTTTGCAACCTTGAAAGATGCATTCTCACCACAGAATATCTGTCATACTGGGTGTTAGTCTTTATGATCTTGGCAATCCTGCATCGCCTGTCAGCGCTGGGAAATTTTCCACCACGAGACTTTTCTTCAAGACATCTCACACTCTCCCTCCCTCTCTCACTCTCTCTGCAAACGAGTGCCAACAATAGAACTTTCATGCGATCACCTTGCACTTGCACTTAGCTCAGCTGATCGCCTGATGACTTCCACTCGGACATTTTTGCATTTGCCGCGCGGCGAGAACACTTTTATTGCGCAATCCATCATTCACGTACTTTGCCGGCAAAAACGCGATAAGAGTACATTATGTGCCTTATGGTGTGCCACAAAAATAATCGTAAAATGCGGTAGTTAAATGTGACGCCATGATCGTCAATCAAATGAAAATTGTGAGCTTCTCCCAATGCATCTCTTATGCGGTTTAACAAATCACAGCCAGAGAGAGAGAATCAATTTTCAACCAGAAGAATAAATGCATTGAGAAAATTGGTTTCATGCCAAACATGGTGGAATTTTAATTATTCTAGACAGATTGTCGCGCATTTGTATATCCGCATATTTCGCCTCTAATACAATGATAATCACAATTTTGCCAGCAACATTCAATCAAATTTTCATCTGATGTTGGGGCTTTGAAATCATTTAAATCTGAGCTTCATGACTTTACAGCCATTTTATTTCCTTCTTGCACTTAATTTCCTCTCTGCCAAGTGCCACTGTCGCCGAAGCGTCATCATGAGATTGCTGTTGGATGTAATTTACGCTCTTAGGAGAGACCTTGGTAAATTATCTGCTATTTTAAATGCCAAGTGTGGGTCGAAATAGCCTGTGAGAGCGAGAGAGGAATAAGCAAAGCTCACAAATTCCACCTTTTGCATTCAATTTGTATTTGACGCTCGTTAGAATTCATATGTATACACTTGTTGCATAAATAATTCATTTTGCTCTAAGAGCTCACAACTTGAAAAAGCGACGAAGCAAAAAATATACCTCGTCAGTTTGCAACTGAAATAATTAGATAATTGCTTCTCCCTTTATTCACACTCTCTCTGTCTGTTAGAAAATCAAATTCACCTTCGACGCGCGATGGTGATCGCGCTCTCAAAGCTCCCTGCTGCAATTGTTGTATACGCTGATCTTTCTAATCGTGAAACGCATTAACAATTAACCTTCATGTCAAGGTTCTGCATTTTGACAATTGCCATTACATTTTGCTGCTCCTCTCGAGAGAATAGCGCACAATAACACAAAAAAACCCCATCTCTCTCTCTCGTGTTGTTTCATTTTTCCACCCAGACACACTGTTTGCAAGACACGACAGCCAGCAAAAAAAAGCACGCCAATTGAGAGGTGTATCATTTCAAAACACACGATAGTGTGCCTCAAAAGTGTATTATAATAATATTTTCCAAACAACACTGCTATTCATCACGTCTGTGCACGGGGAATAATTGAGACGAGCGGCAAACACACACTCGCTAGAGTGTATCAAAAAGTCACTTTTTTGCAATCACGTGTCGACGAGGTCTCGTGTCGAGAAGAGCTTTTCAGCCATACGCGGAAAATTCATCTCTCTTTCAGCAGCGAAATGCAATCAAATGTGAAGGTATTTTGAGCATGAAAAAATGGCTCCTGCAAATAAGTCGTCAGCAGGTCTTCACCAGACAATTTGTCCAGCAAGGTGTGTGCGCGACCACTGGCGAAAAGCTCCCGCCCCAAAGCTCTAAAGTGGAGAGAGAGAAAAAAAGAAATATCCACCCTCTCGTGGCACACAAAGTTCGTGCCTGAAGAAATATCGCCCCTCACAATTACGTGAATCCACTTTAATTCTTGCGCGATATATCAATGTGTTTGTGCCCATTACGAGACTGTGTAATGCAATGTCAGTCACGTTTTCTCCCCCAAGTCAAGTCGCATTTGTTTCGTGTCTCATGGAATATTTTTACTAAAATAATTCTAATGTTTATTTAGCCTCACAATATCAATCATCTCTCCACATACACTCAAACACACTCTCTCTATAGGCTTTGAAAAAGCAACAGAGAAAAATAAAAAACTCAACACAGACTTTCCGGGAATTTTCTCCATTGTCCCCGACATTTCTTCCATGAGCTTTTTTTTTCCTTGTTCACCCGTAATTGCTCTTGTATGAATTTTCATGCAACTTGTTTTTTGCACCTAATGCATTACAGGAGGAAATGTCGGAAAATTTCTGTGCTGTGTTGTAGAAATTGCACTCTGGGCGGCGTTCTGCCTGCTAATTCCGCGTGTAATACATGGAGGGTGGCGGAGAAGGGGTATCAGAAAGGTCACAAAGTGTAGGATTGGCTGTGGAATGAGGGCAGAAATATGATAGGTTTTTGCAAGTACAAAAGCTCTCTGTGACGCAAAGTTCAAAAATTCAAATCGATCGTCTGTTTTGCACCCTTTAAGCGAATTATTAGCAATTTTTATCATTGATATTCAACAAATTAGCCACCTAGAAATCTCAGCACGACGGAAGCTCCGTCGACTTTCGACATTCTCTCCCTCTCTTCGCAAGCACCACCGCGAAATATGAGAATAGGAGTGCAGAAAATGGTACAATGAGAGCTATTGGCAACCTTCACGATCGATTGAACAAGCCACTCATTTTCCAATTCAGCAATTACACTACAATTTTAATTGCATGATCGTTGGAGCGATGGCGAGTGCGAGCGAGAGGCCGACTTTTGCATGGCATCTCTCACTCTCCTGCACAACATTGTTACAATGTCACTTTGCCCAGTGTTTTGATGCCTTTTTTCAGCGCCTCCGCGCGACTCTTTCTCGCCGTGCGAGCGAGAGGCCAATGGTGAAAAATTCATGAGTGAGCGCCAACCAGAGAATTGCCACAGGAAAAGCCTGATTTTGTAACATGATCACGTGATCTCGCGATGATGCGAGATCAGTCGCTGGTGGTGTCGACGGGGCAGGACGGGTGGGCCTGTGGGTGTGTTATGTACATTCAGAAATGATGAATATATGCTCGAGTCGCGATACAGATTGCGAGGAGAGCCAGCATAGAACCACCAGCTGTTTATAAATAAAACCTCTCTCGGTACATACAGTCACATATGATCAACGATCACTTTTTACTATGCTTTCATATACAAAAATCTCCTCGTCTCTGTTGCTCACACAAGAATCCGCGCGCGCGAGCTGCACCGCTTTGGATGCGGCTTTGGGAGAATGCGCGAGAGATATATCGTGTGGCTCAAATTGCGCAATTTGACAGCTTCATTTTATTACGACAAACATTTCAAATGGCAAAAAGGCAAAAATATTCAAACATCCAAGCGCCATTCAAAAAGAAGAAAAAAGGGTCTCTCTTCCCATCGTCATTAAAAATAACAAGGCAAGATATATCATAACATGCGAAGCAAACTAAGATCGCGAGTGATCGTCTCATGATCATCACATTTCACATATGACAAGATTAAAGTGCTATTTATCTAAGACTTTTGACACTCCATTCAAAGCCCATTGTGGGCTCTTTCTTAGGCCACAGCCCGAAACTGGGTCATCCTTTGTCCACATGACTCTCTTAGAATTATACTTGATTATTTCATGCGACACGTCTTTATTCTTGCAACCTCTTTCAATTATTCACGCTGCCCTGGGATTTCAATTAATCGCCTCACTTTCTTGACGCCTTTTATTCTAAACAATTAAAATTTTGCCGAGGCGGATGCGCGCGCGCGCTGCACAAGCCAAAGAAATTGCATAGGGAATTTCTCAATGATCGCGATACAATTAAATAAAATTAGAAGAAAAAAAGAGAGACACTTCAACTTTTCCTCGGCAATGAATAAATAAGAGACCTAATTAGTGCTGCAAACTAATGTATCTTTTTTACTTTATGTATCGGACACCACAAATTGCTAATAAATCGCTCCTATACAAAATGCACGATCACCATATTGGCATGGTAAGAAGTAAAAAAGACGGTGGATTTCGACATAAGGCTCTTTTGCAGGCACCCAGAAAAGCGTTTCAAGGCATCTATTTCGACACTCCACGCGCGCACTCTAAATTGCCATATAACTTTTCGATCCAATGCTGGCCGCGCGCGCGTTTTACATCTCCTTGGGGAAATGGAACAGTTCATGGGGACATCAATGGCTTTGAGGTGGAAGAAAGTGTGAAACTCACCCTCTTTTTGCGCGGCATCTCCTCATTGTAGTCCATGACGATGCCCTCGTCAGATGTGGAAAGGGATGTAGTGCGAATGCGTCCGTTTGTACTACTGGGAGCGCCCTCATCGCTCAATGGTGGCGACGAGGTGCCGGATGATGACCAGGAAGCCCCGCTGGTGCTCCCGGGACTGGAGCCAAATACAGAGTGCCACTGGGAGACAACTGCACAACAGAGAAAGCGCCAGATCAAGTACACTGTGTTGAAGGTTTTGCAGGACTGCAGACCTTGGCTATGGTAAATTACTTTGGCCTTTTGCTCCAAGGTTGCACAGCTTTGAAAGTCCTCAAAGCCCTAACCTTTCCTACTTTTTCAGATCTCCTAATAACTCAACGCTAAACACAATGTAAGGTAAAAGAGATCTAGAGGCCACACAACACACATCACTCACCTGTACGTGGAGAATGTGGTGAACAGGAGAGGCTCATGAGGACAAGAGCAGCATTGCATTCGTCCATGGGATCATCATCGTTGTAAATGTCATCTTGTGAGTAGGAAGTGCGACGTTTGCGTGATCTGTAACAAACAAGAGGCAAACATTCCATTAGATGCATTGCATCAATTTGGTCTATTTGGTGAGAAAATGGACTCTATTGACACATGAAATTAAAAAACAGCAAGCGGAGGAAGAGAGTGTGAATTTTGTGAAGCCAGACGCTTGACAACTTGACTGCATACATATATAGAGTGCAGAATCCATGTTTCCCATCCATTGTATCACAATGTTGCTCGCAGAGTGTCTATTTCGTAATAGTCAGCGAAACACTTTCATTGCGTTTTTTTTCACTGTATTAAACCATCCAGCATACTTTTGAAAATATATATATTGCTTTGACTCTTGGGTGTTTAAAAGACCAAAAGTGGGTTAGTGTGTTACGTCGCTTTTTTCATCTCTCTCTCTCACTCTCCTCCGTGTCTCTGACAGCAAACCAATATTTCACGTCTCTTTCTCGCAACTTCAATTTTATTTCTTCATCGTTAACTAACGAAGCCACGGAATTGCCTTCTTGCTACCAGGCTTATTTGTACGTTTGCCTGTATTGAACACTTCACTTGGAACATGTGTTAAAAGGCACTATATATTTGTACATATTTGTGCTATGTTGGCAGTCAAAATGAAAATCTCGAAGCACGATTTACTTTGCACACCTGATGGGCAGGTTTCTGTTACGTTTCTCATGTGTATTTTGCTTTCCATTGTGAAAAGGCATATCGAGAAGAAGAAAAAAAGCCGATAGGCAATACAACAGCAAATTCATCTCCTCACCATCTTTTTCTCTCTCTTTCTCTCAAGATGAGAGCGCACATAAGAGACAACAAATTGCATTGTTGCACCAGACAATAAATACAAAATGAGATTTTATTGCAGCAGAAATTATGCTCCAGCAGGGAAATACACCGCACGTCTCTTAACGATCATATCGAATTGATTTCCCGCATATAGGGAAGCACACGAAATATCACTGTGCATTTTCTAATAATGCATGCCCAAGTCAATTTCCTAACTAGAACCATTGTCCTCGCATTTTCGCGCGATTAGAGAGTAGTCGCAATCACGGAAACCGTGTTGAGTAGTTGCCCTGCCGAAAGAGCCCAAAACAAAAATCCCAGAGCAAGAAGTTGAGTGGAAAAACAATTTATACTCCATTCGCCTTGAATTCATCGCGAAAAGTCTCCAAATGACGTCACATAGCGACGATAAACACATTTTTTGCACACCACCACTGTCTTCCTGGGATACAAAACATCATCAACATCTCAACTACTGGTTGTTTTACCAACGCGCGGCGGCCTTGCCTCCAAAACCTCACTCGTAAATTTAGCTGCGTGATCGCGCGGCCCAAAGTATCATTGTCGCAATGAGCATTTCGTATAATATGTACAGTTTATCTATTTTGCGCATACGAGAGTGCCAAAAGATATGCGCACGCGAATTTCTGTCTGAAATTTCAGTCCAACTCTCAATGAGATCGTGTGTCGTCGTATTTTCGCCTCATTCTCTCTTCTCACTTCAATCCATCAAAACATCCCATATTTGCTCATCCAATAAAACATAGTTTGACGTCTCGAAATTCCACCATCAGCAACAACACTTCGAGGGGCTCTAAAGTCTTCACCATTGAATCATTAGGCGTTCGTGAAAATTGCGATATTAATCTGTGAATATAGGCATGATTTATTAACCCCTCAGTGATGGCCCTCAAATTCCCAAAACACTGTCCAATTGAGGCAGAAATTCCTTCCTTCTCCCTCTCTCTTCGCCTCCCGTCGTATTTTGTTGGGAATGGCGTGTGCTGAGACCATATGAGAAATAATATTTACTATTTTATTTATCATCGCGGCGTCATCATTTCCACTGTGGCCTGTTTTGTGGATGCTTTTCGTGCCACGAATGGCAGAGAAACGTGCGAAAAGAGCCTCCGACTCGTGGTAAATAACACACATTTGGGCCCGAGGAGTGTTGGACAGATTAATGGGCCTAGGAAAAGCTCAAATAGGCGCGTTTGCTGGCAGTTTTAGGAAGTGTTTTTCAGGTTGGAGCGCGAAAAATATTTAAATTACACCCAAAAGAAGTGTGTGTGCAGAAGTATGCTAAAAAGTCAGCCTTTTTAGCAATTCCATGATACATTGAGTTGTTGTTTCTCCTCGAGCCGGCTTTTTTGTTGGGCTCTGTGTCGCGACAATCGAGCCCCGAAAAGCTCTTGAGCAAACACACCCGAAATTGGATGCCATTTCGCTATGGTTAATAGTAGCGAAATCTCAAGTTGTGGTGTGTCTCATATTGATGTGAAGGCTACTTGCTAACTAATTATTTGATATTTTCAATGTTGACAACTTGAGGTTTCCATTTGAGCCTGTTTTTGCTCGGCCATTTCAGTGTTGATTAGATCGAATTAATACGTCATTGACGAGTTTGTTTTGTCGCCTTTAATGACTATTGTCCACCCAATGGCAAACGACAATCACACACAGACACACATTGTGGAAAGCTTCCTGGTTCACCATCCGAAAGCCAAAAAGCCTTGTTCCTTTCACTCACGCGCGCTCTCAAAAAGCTCACACACAGCCCATTAACTTGAGCCTCGCGCAATCACACAAGCCTCAACTAAGCTAAGCCCTGTGGGATGACAAAAAGCACCTCTCCACTCTCGATTAATGGCTATCTCTCCTCATACTCGAGCCCATATGGTTGACGGCGAGAGAGACGCTAGCGAAATAGCACATAAAAACGATAAACAAGTGAAAGTAACACAACGAAAACTTTTTAATTTCAATTCACTTTACGTAACTGTTCATAAAATTCAACGGCTAAATTGTGCTTCTCTCTCTTTCGCTCCCTCTTGCCATGCTCCCGTCCAGATTCAGCCTCTTGTGCACGACTTACAACATCGAAATTTCATAAAACTTCCATGAGCCGGCGTTAAATAGCTCTTGGGAGGATTTCTACATAAAATTTTTCGCGCGCTGCCTCTTTTCTGCAACTTGTTGAGCGCGTCTCTCTCTCTGCTCATTTGTATTTGATTGTTTGTGAACAATGTGCACGCTTTGAAAGAGTGTTTGTCCAAGGAGCGCAATGAAGCTCTTTTTTCTATGCTGTTCGAGACGTCAACATAACTACAAATTGCAGCACATATGGAGAAGGCTCTTGGGGGGATTTCGTCACTGGAAATTACATGGCGGTGGCGGAGTTAATGAGAGAAGATGAGCATGTCTGGCACAACATGTGAAGGTGAATGATTAATTTGAGATGAAATCATTGGCAAATCAAGCTGTGCTTAACACCGAAACGTGAGAGCGCGAAAGCGTTTGACATCTGTCAACAGAGAGATCAGTAAATCTTCCAAGTATCAACTGACCTTCTGATTGTGAGAGAAAAAGAGGAGAGAAAAAAAACTGCACACGACTTCCGGGATTGCAGATAAAAAAGAACTTATAGAAACTTAATACTCTAGTCACATCTTCGCACGTCATTGCGAAATTTGTGACTTTTCCTTTTTCGGCAGCTTAAGCAGTCGTAAATTTGGGCAAAAATATGAGCCGCGCGATAAGACAAATATCGTGGTGAATCGATGAAGAGGTGAAAAGTATGACGGCAATTTGCATAAAATCCTGACACACACATCAAGATTAATGTACACACGGAAGTTCTTGCACAGTCAATTCGAGTGTCTGGAGTTAAACATCATGCATTTTGCCAACTAAATTTCCCTCTCAAAGTGGCTGTAAAGTGGGCATTTTTGACGGGTGTGTGTGCTGTGCTGTTGCGAGCTTTTCTCTGCTTCTTTTTCGCGCCTCATTCGATGAAAAATTTAGGCCAAATTATGAAACTAAATTGTGTTGATATCTCAACGGTGTCATGACATAAATTCCTTAATTTATTCAACCATGTTTTCTACGCTCCAACGTTAAAATGCATGGAAGGCGCGAAAATAGCGTTGGAATGCCTAAAATTACTTCATTTTTGTGCCGGCCAAGATTTTTGCATAAAATTCCTCTCTTTGCTTGTGCGCAAATACAAGACATTGAATATCATATAAAAGTGCCTTCTTTTTCTCTTCCAATTTCAGGGACACACAACCATGGGCCAAAAATACTGAGATCCTGTTTTATGTCTCACTCTCCTACATGACCCAAATGCCTCACTTTGATATGACTTGACGTGTGTGTGGAATTTTTTACATAAATTCGTCATTCTCTTTAGCATTTATTAAACTGCGCGATGGAGTTAGCGAGACACTGTTAAATCTGTTTCTGATTCACGAATTCACTCGTCTTGCAGACGGGAATCTTTACGCTTCCGGACACTTTTTATCATTTCACCATCTGACTCACTTTGCTGTACACGAGCAATTTGTGTGTTCTAAAAATAAAATCAAAATTGCTGCCATTTTGGGAATTGAACGAGTATAACAGGAAAATCCCAAAGTCTCGAATTACAATTGAAACACACCGCAGAATTCACTCAACTTTTTCGAACTAAATCATTCCTGTTGACTGCAAAAATGATTGTTCACGAAGCGCATAATTAAGAGTGATTGGATCGATCCGGAATCTCCTCTGATTTCTACAATCAATTACCCATTAATCTCTGTCGCAAGTGATTTGCCAACCAGAGGTCCAATTTGCGAAGCTTCTCTCCTCATTTTCACGATAATTTCTGGCAATTTCTTCCCACCACCCAAGACAACACAGCCGCTTTGCCCTTGCTTTCCAATCAGCTAATCTCCGCACACGAGAAGTTCACTTTGTCTTAACCTTCCTCGCAGTTAAAATTCAATTTAGCATTTTCCTTCGCTCCTCTCCACCACTATTTTCACATTTTTCCCGCACTGTATTGAGGAAGTCTTAGAAATATATATGAAAAAAAGAATGTCAGGTGTGTAATTGGATGTGATTTGAGGGCTCAAGGTAATCTCATGCCTAAATATTAATTTATCTCCTCACTGTGACTGGTTCAACCAGTTGGGCTCTCTTGCTCAGCTCGAGTATTAACGTACTTTGTATCCTGGAATTAATATTTTCCCCTCGAGCGCTGGCGAAAAAAACCACCTCCAGTCAAATTTTCAGGTTGTATCATTAATTTAGACTCCATTTCACGGTATTATATTACTTGGGAGGCATTTTTAAATAAGGGCAAGAGCTTATCTGCCTTGCGAGGAGTATTATTTTTCCATCGAGTGATTTAATAAGGAATTCATGAAGCACAATTTGAGTAAAAAGTCTTTGTTTACTTCCATCATCACTCTTAGTTTCGGAGATGTCCAAAAATACACGGCGCATTTGTTATTGTATTCCATCGCAAATTCCCGGGCACGATTCAGTGATTTTTGGAGAATACACGCCAAAATAAAGGGGTGAAATGCTAATTGAAAAATTGACTGTCTGAGCGCGACATTTGTAGTGGAAAAATCTCATAATTCCACTAAAGTTTCTGTCTCTCACTCTCTTCGTGGCAATGGAAAAAGAACGCCCATAAACGTCTGGGTATGTCTGGGACGTTTGGATGCTGCACAACTCTTGAGGGTTGTTCTCTCACCCACAATCCATTTGCCCTCATTTTCTCATGGCGGCGTGTCTGGTGCATAGACGAGGGATGAAAATATTAGGAGCACATTCGCTCTCCTTTGTGTGCTGCACAATCACCTTCAAGCGACCTTTCTTTCGTCAATTGTGTGCAACATTTCGCCCAGCGTTCAACCCCATCACGCTGTTTGTTGGCCATTTCTGCCTGACGGAGAGCAGACACACTGCATTTCAACGGTGATTACCCACAAAACACCCTTAAACATTCCAATTTAGTGACAAACCGACGACGAGTGCACAGTGTGGCGAACAGAGTCAAGACATCGGCACCATAAAATCCTTTCGCTGGCAGAAGAGGAGCGAGGAGAAATCCGTCCAGTTGAGCACATATTAATACGTCTCGACGGAGCGGCATCGTCTATTTACCTGCAATTTGTATAGTTTTCTAGTCATTTTTTCTCCCACCCATGCAACGTCTGGCTTTTGGTGATGTTTATTTGGCTTTTTAATCTCTGACGCGTCACTTAATGCGAAAAAAAGCAGTGATTCGCCTTCGCATGTGTACTTGTGCCAATTTTCTGCCCGTGTGCGCGTTTGTTCGCCCAGTGAATAAGCCGTCTTGCTATTTATCCCTGACCATACCCAAAAAATGTTTGCGAATTTTTTTGCACACACACTCACAGACGCCGTCAGACGAGATCAGCGCCTGTGTTTGAGGCGCAGCTGATTCTGCAGAAACTTTTTCAAAAGTATTGTCCCCAACACAGTCACACAGCACGACCAGAACTGCCAACGCCGCGGCACAACTTGCCAATTTTGGCCACACTCCGCAATTAATGGAAATTACCTCAGATTGTAGCTCTTGTATCGCCGTGAGCATTGAGTGCTCGAAATCGGTTTCTTGCATTTTTATTCACATTTAATCTGCCAACTTTTTTTTTTGGACATATTTTCCCTCTGCAAACTCCTTAACTCTGCAGGTTTTTCTCTGCCGAGGTTTCCGCAATTCATCTCTTCTTGACGACTGTATTATATTATGCCGCAGTTTTTCTTCGAATCAGTCGAAAAATTCCCTTGAAAAAACCCATTTTCTTTCTCTCTTTCTCCTAAAGCAAATAAGTGAATTATGGTGAGGAAAGGTTTGTTTCAAGAAAAGCACATTCAAAAATAGTTGTGAAAATAAACGGTGGGATTGGAGGAAAACACACAATTTAATATCATCCTTGGGTGTTTTTCTTGTAAACACAGAATTACAAAATTCGCGCCCAACTTTATGTGGAGTTGCCCATGAAATTGTCTTTAAAGAGTTTCTCCTTGAAGACACTGTGCTGACTCTTTTTCTTCTTCTTTTTTGTGTACCTCCTGGTCAGCACATCAGTGTGTAGAATTTACGATTATATGATTTTGAAGAAGAAATTATAGACAGTGATGGGGAGATATAAATTAAATAATTGTCGGGGATTATTATAGACATTTCCATGGCAATCAATCATAGAAAATTGACCACCAAGAATCCCTGAGATTGCAATTAAACAAGCCAACATCTCTCCTCTGAAACTGGATGAAAACCTCTTCTTTCGCTCATGACATCGTGTAATAAATTTGCACCGAGACTCAATCATATGCGCGCAAGTAAATAAAGACATGAGAATTTTCAATTATTATTGTTATTGAACATTCCTCTGCCGCATCTCGAAATAGCGTTACAAGACAGCGTGTCTTCCGCACAAAAAAAAGCTAGGAGAATTGATGAAAACATTCGTGGTTTCGCCTTGGAGTGCGCGCCGGAGTGTTGAGGAAAAAATTCGCAAACTGCTAATAAATATTTTTGCCAAATCGAGCTTATGCAAATTTGCAAATAAAATAGACGCTTTGGGAGAGGGAGAAAATATTTGTAAAAATTTATAGACTCAGACGTGCAAAAAAGAGTTGGTTTTTTGTTAGCCAAGGTCGTGTTGAATTTGTTGTGTGCAGTTAATGTTGGTTGGACGGAAAGGTGTGTTAAAGCACTCTTTTTTTCAATAGAAAATTTGCACACACAGAGCACGGCAAACGCCCAAAATATATATAGTATATCAGCAATGCTCAAATTGAAATTTCTTACTTCAAACTAGTTTTCCTCCTCACAAATCGTGATCTTGAGATGGTGCGCGCGCGACGGACACAAAAAAACAATTCAGGAACCGAACATTCGATCGCAGGGCGGCAAAAAATGAGCCACAAACTCTCTAAACTTGAAATAGTTTCACACACTAAAAGTTTCGTGCCCGACATTATTTTATTATTTGTCTATTGGGAGGAACCGCGAAGAGATTCAATGCCGCGAGTAGCGTGAATAAACAACTGGGCATATGCAAATGTGAGTGCGTGTGGGTTGGTGATGTCACCAGCGATATTGGCACAGCTACCAAAAGCTCTCCTCTCGCGGTGGCTTATTATGCAACCGCCGCTCTTTTGCTCACTCGCGCTCTCCTTCACGGCTCAAAATAAGGCAGACCCGAGTTGGAGATGCCCGAGATCAGTGGTTGCGGCGGATCCCTGACATTCACCACAAATGCGAGCTAAAAGCATCCAGCAAAATCACTGGCTTAATTACATGAAATCAGAAAATTGTTTCCAGTTGATCTTGAGAATTGAAATAAAAACCACCAGAGAAAATGCGGATTCAGAAGCCAGGCGCGAGAGCAACTCAACTTGCAGAGCGCATATTTAGAAGATGACACTGAAGCATACAGAAGAAATTCCTCTTCGCGGAATTCATAGGAAAATTCTTGTGATTTGGCATCTTTTTCACATTGACCTCCTCCTCTCTGTCCCACACACACACAGTGAGTGGCTTTCACCAAGGGGGAGATAATGCTTTAAATCTGTACACCACTTCTTCATACTTCCGCATTTCCTCTACAGAATCTTCAACACTCTTTTTAGACTCTAAATCTAAGTTTTTCTTAGAAAATTTCTGCCAATTCCTAACACTTCTGTAAAACAAGTTGTACATCTCTTTCGACCATAATATCTGCCCCTTGGCTTTCACAAATTAGCAGTTTTTTTTCTATCAAGCCCATCTCTGTATGGTTTTCTCTCTTCCCATTCCACCCTATTCACTCTGCTAGCATAATTACAATATGCTGAACATTAAATATAAGGCATAGGAGAGATGCAAAGTATCTCTCACAACTCGCAGAAAATGTGAATGTTAGATATTAAGCGGAGAGAGGTGTATAATTACGCGAGTCAGTCGAATGGATGAAATGGTGAAAAAAATATTTATTAAATAAATTAAAAATTTTAATGAATAAATATGAAATTGTGTGTATTTCTCTTCCGTCAAAGTGGGAAGTCAAAACGCACTGTTTGTGTGGCTTTTGTGTCCAAAGTTCTTTTCACTCAGTTTCCACCAGCTCAATTTATGGGCTATTTTTCCGCAAAACCTTCACGACTCGAGGGAAACTTTCACGTGAGATCCTTCGACAACAACAACAAAAAACTGAGGGATTCCGCACACAGATCATAACGCGATGGCATTATCTCAATCACTAGATCGCATCGCGTAATTATGCGTGTGTTTGGAATTTATTTTATGGCCGGATGACCTTCTATTGAGGTTTTTCACAACTTCTGTGTGCGCTGTTCCTTCGCTCTCAGATGGAAATTTGCATAAGCAAGAGTGAATAGATGGCAATGGGGAATTGTAATAATGAAAAAAATGACATCGCCAAGAGTGAAATATTTCCAAATGCCACTCACCCATTGTTTTGCTGGGCAAATCCAAGTGGAACATCAATGCTGTGCGATGCCCTGCGACGATCGCCCGCCATGTCGGCCAGCCTGGCGAAGTCCGTGTCGCGCTCTTGATCCGCCAAACGTGCTGATCTCCTCGATTCCAGGAGGCGAACTTCCTCCAAGCGCTTCTTCAGCTCCAAATGTGCCTGAAAGAGGGAGAGAGAGAGGAAGAATTTCGTAAGGAATCATAATATTATTGCATAACGACAAACAGCTTTCATAGCTCTATATTTGCATTAGAATTACAAGAGAACCGCAACAAAGTACCGCCCTTTTCCCCGAATTGAGCACATAACACAGCCATGAGAGTCTCTGTGTGCCTATTGGCGATGCGATCCAGTGAACGCGAGAGCTGAAATGTAGGGTGATCTTGAGGTGGAAAGTGTTTGGGGAATGGAGGAGTGTGAAAGCCAAAATTAAATCGGCATTTGGGTCGCAATGCCGGCCGGTGTAGACCAAGTCGTTCCCTCCCCTTCGCCGATGCAAGTGGCCAAAGTTAAAAATATCCACCTGGGGAGAGGAATGAGATTCGGCATCGCGTGCCGTGACTCACACGCAATGCTATCAACTTTCCACGACAAATTTCGCGCGACATGCCGCGGGGAGTGTCGAGGATCGTGATCGATAGCAATCTTCCTGGGCGGCCTTTTCTCCTCCACCCCCACCCCCTCCCCCTCCACAGAGACACACTCAACATTGGGCCTCGAAGTGCACCTCTGTGTATGTGAAGAAAAGGTGTCTGTTTGCGCTGAACAAACATCAAGAGTAATGACAGAAAAAAGAGCGAAATTAATATGAGCCAATGTACAGAGCTTAGTTGTTGTGTATCTATTACGACACTCTTTGACCCAATGGCACTGTTGAACTAAGCGCTGCGATGGTGGTAAAAAAGAATTCACAATTTTTACTTTTCACACTTTTATATGGAAATGAATGGAGCTTTCGTTTTCCTTTGCTGCCTCGCATTTTCGCGCGCTTGCGATGGAACAATTTCGTAAACACAGGCGTCCAAAAACTACAAACACCGTGACTACATTTTATTTTTCGCCTATTCACAAAACGCCAAACCTTGAGTGACTTCCGACAATGGTGCCTTTTTCAGAAGAATTTATTTTCAGCCAAGAGTGAGTGAAGAATAAAATGAAACACTCGAGTGGGAATTCAATGCTAAAAGGGCTCCACCCAATAAATTAGAGAATATGTGTGGCATCAAATAGAGTTCCGTGCTGATTGGCATGACCTCACTGTCTAATGGGATTCTCTTCTAGACGACGTTGCGCAATTTTTGATATGCAAAACCCATATCTTTATAATGCCTATTAAATGTAAGAAGTTTTCGCAAAGTTATGATCAATCTCGTAAATTCTGAGCTATGCTTTCCCGAAAACCATCTCCAGACTTTTACTTTCTACTTTGGATGAAAAGCGATCCCATTGATTCTGGGAACGAGTGGATCTTCTCACAGTTGCGCTGCGTTGCCACCATTGTAAATAACTCTCCACCCTTTTTGGCCGGTATGTTTCACTGAACATGAATCTAAATTGGTAGTGATGATGACCCAAATTCCTAATATGCATGCGTGTGATGGGATTATGGAGTACTCCACAGTGCAGCAAAAAGTCAGAGTGTGTAAATAGGCTCCATTATTATTATTTGAGTTTGTACGACTTACCAACAGAAGCCAATCCCATCTGGTGAGATTGACGACTCTCTTTCTCTCTGTCTCTCACTCGAGAATCAACCACAAATATCGGTCATTTATCAAACACAAAGTGTCTGCATATCGATTTGAAATGCACCTTCGGGGTAAGTTACGGTCCGAAATACCCAATTAGGCGCCAAAAAGTGGCGATAGACGGCAATTAACTTTCAATTTTGAGGCGATATTTCGCCACTACGCTTTTAGGTATCAATTTGAATCTTGCCGATTGTGTCGATCATAAAGTTGCAGGCCATGGAGAGACCCAGAGCGCAAGAACACTTGAAACGTTGTATCTAATTAATATAAATTACACAGTCTCTCATGGAGTAAATGTGTATTAAACTTCCGGGATAGTGTGTCAAAGTCGGCATGCAGAAAAGTAGAATGAATTAGCGCTCGCCCCTCGCGAACACGTGTTTAACTCCTCTATATAGCGATCTTTTGTCTCCCCACAATAGTGCGGGCAAAGTGTATCCATAAAGAAGTGCATCGCAGGAATTACTCCCTGTGCTGAATTATAGAAAATAAAAAATAATTCTCTCTATGATTCACAATGCAAAGTGCGCTCGATCGTCATGTGTATGATTGTGAAGACAAAAAGGCGAGTGTGACGTTGTGGCTTTGTCTCCTCAAAAACTCTTTGTCAACACCACAATTAGAGCCCACACAGTTGCATGAAGAAAGAAAAAAAAAAACTCTACTCTACTGCACTGCGTCAACTAGAAGAATATCTTCTTCTGTTTACGTGTATCTTATCTCAAGAGTGGCGAAGTCATCTGGAATTTATCGATATATAGAGAGCTATTGACTTCACGTGCTTGTGCTTAATGAAATCAAAAACGCCATTATTTGTCCATTTGCAGTCAAATTGACTTTATATTGCAGCCCAAGTGAAGATCACCATTGCACAACACGCGCAACCATTACGAATCATTTCGTCATGAGCGTGATAAAGTCATCCCAAGTGAGACCAGCCTTCAATTTCGTCATATCCTCATCATCTCAAGAGAATTTTTGCACAAAAATTGCTGAAATGCAGGGAATTTTTGTCATTAGTGACTAAGCCGGAAAGTGAGTCAGTGTTGTGACCATACAAAAAAGGCCTTCTTGAGATTGAACAACAAAGAAAGTCCATTTTGGAGGGTTTTTATGGTTGAGAACAGAGATCGAATTCGGTGTTTAATTTGATCTACATTGGAAAGGCGGAGGAGGCGCGACAAAAAAGGCGCATTTCTTTTCATTCAATTTCATTATGCCCAGAAATGGTGAGACTTTCACGCGGGTGGAAGAGAGTTTGTCGCAATGGAGGAAAAAATAGTGACTAAATAGTTACACATTGTCTACAGCTTGAGAGAGTGTCTTGAGCAAACAGCAAATGTGCACTTTGGTCGGTGGTATCACTTGAGGCCGCATACATAGAGTGTCGAGGCAATTAGTTGGCCTGAGGAATGGGTAAATGATGGGCAAATGGCAAAATATTTGCCGAGGAGGAGAGATGTTTGTTGGAAAGAAATTGAAAAGAAATGTACAATGGTTGTATGTGTCATGTCTCTCTCTAGGTTCATGCTAAATCGCACATAAACGCACGATCGCATGCAGAATTGGAAATTTCATGCGCGGCCGGTGAAAGTTTTTAATTATTTGTTTACAATGAAAATAAAACGGCTAAATTGTGCAGTGATACACAGGCGCGCGGTGCATCTGCGTCCGCCGCAGGGGCTTGAGGAGTGCCAACCAAGAAGATCTTTGGTGTCATCGCGATCGCGAGTGATCCTCGCGCGCATTTTCACATGACACTCATCTTCTACATCTCCCGCGAGCTCATGTAACGGTTCTCCAGTTCAGAGGTTTATCATCTCACCCCGCCGAAGCATCTCAGGTGATGAGTCAAAGACGTACACAAACATCTTCACGAGAGAGACAGAGAGGGAACTGGAACTTGCCTGGTCATCTGTGCGCCAATCTGGCAATTTCCAACCACAAACACACGCCTGCAATGCATTAACCATCATCGCCAATTGAGACGACGCGATGTGCTGATCGAGAACCGGAATGCAATTGAAGAAAACACACACCGCAAGATTGCGAGAAAATTGTAATTTGTTCATTTCTCTTAACACGGACACGCTGTTATACATTACGCATTTGTGCTCAGTTGTGGCAAGTGTGCTCTCTGATCACTCGGAGATGATTTACTTTATTGCAAACGCATTTCATGCATCATATGCACCTCATACGCCACACACGGCACATTTTATGCTTTCGCCCCGCGAGATGCGACCTCGCAAGGAATACCGATGAGGAATCACCATGCGAAAGATTCTTGCGAAATATTCGCGAAATGCGGAGCCTTTCAGGTGTTGAAGTGACAATTTAATTGCCCCGACAAAGTGAGTCAACATCGTCATTATTATGAGACACATCTTATGGGATTTAAACAGGAAAAGATATTGCCTTAAAATATATTTATGAAACATCTGAAATTTACACGATCTTCTCTGCAAATCTATCGACATTGCGTTTCATGCCAGTATGCATAAAAAATTTATGAACTCTCCTTAACACACTCAACACTGCATTATTCCACATAATGAATATCCCATATCAATTGCTAATTCACTCAGGTTGCGCTAATTGTGTGAACTTCTTATAAGGTTTTATGCAAGCACCTGTACGTGATGTCTTTTTATTGAGACACTGATTTCTCTGCTATCATTCGATTGGGATTTAATTAACAAAGCACAGTTACAGTGATCTGATTTTCCAACCTCTCTAGTCTCTAGAGATGATCAACCACTCAAGATCAACCACGATGAATTGAGGATTATTGTGACATTTTTCTCACTTGCGATCGCGCCTTCATTTTCTCTCTTTCTCGCTCTCCTTTTTTTGCGCAATTCTGCCGGAAATCAGCGTATTTCAAAATTGTCCCACATTTGATAAAATTCAACAGCCACACATTGGCATTTTCCACGGCTTTATCGAAATCCGTGTGCGGCGTGTATTTCTCCGCAGGGGCACAAGAGAAATGAAAATGTATTGCATAAAGTAGATGGAGTGTAAAATTGACAGAGAGAATAAATTTGCATTGAGAGACTTCTATGGAATCAACTTGAATTTCTAATGCATTGAAAGTGAAGAAATAGCAATTCCTCTAAATGCATTAGGTGACTTTGCATAATCCAAACGACGCGGAATTTGCCTTCTTAACACTCTTCTTTCTTGCAAATTTTCACTCTATATATTGCGGCTACTCTTTTCAACCCCAATCACGATTCACGATCGCTCGATCGTGTTTTGGGGTTCGTTTCTTTTGTCATTTTTCTGTGCCATCGCCTAATTGGGCGATTAAAGTAGACAAGAAATTCATTAGAGTCAGACAAAATCAACTTTCTGCCTATAAAATCGATGGAATTATTATGCTGATCCGACAGCGAACACTTG